TGGTAATTTTATTTTATCATGATACTATAGAGCGTGGCATAAAAATCATTTATTCGGTCAAATTTACTTTTCATTTTTATTTCTTTTTCTTTGCCAAATGGGTGGTAACAAAAGTTACAATTTTGAAAAGTCGGCTGTTCAACGACGGTTATAAAATATAAATTAAAATTTTAAAAAGCGAGCCGCGACGGCTCAGTGGATATAAAGTTAGCCTTCCAATGATGCGAACCGGGGCTCGATCCCGGCGATGGCTGGTCTATACGAATTCCGCATTCGGCTTTCCCCGACCGCAGTGCTGACGTGAAACATCCTCAGTGGTAGACGGATCATGGGTTATAGCCCCCCCTTGCCGTCAGGCTACCTGTGGGAGGTTATCATGGTCTTCCTCTCCATGTAACGCAAATGCGAGTCAGTTCCCTCATAAAGTCCTCCACGAAGGCAAATTTCTCCTAATACTTGATCCAGGAGTTTTCTTGTCTTCTGGATTGGGTTCAAAATTGCAAGGCTACGGAGTTGAACATATTAGTAGCCGTAAACCCAAAAATTGGGTCGGCTGTTCAACGACGGTTATAAAATAAAATAAAATTTTGAATAGCTGAATTTTCGGTAAACTGTTACCATATGGCGAAAAAGTTACCAAAAGAATGCTTTAAATACCGTATATTTTGGTTTTATTTCCAGAAATGTCATTACCATACAGTATGGTACTTTGGCCAGAACTTTTTTCTCCGTACGACATCCATTAATAATCGATTTTTTTCATGTCAATTCCAAACAATTACGTTACAAAGCTAACCTATAAATTTAATAAAATATATATCAAATCACAGATATATTTACTTAAAATATTATCTTTAATAAATAAGTAGAAGGACTTTAAAAATAGTTGACAGTCATTATTCTCTACTGAGAAATGGACGTGAAAATTATGAATTGCCCTTGTCTTTCTATGGTTGCACAGGGTTGCTTGCTTTCATTATGTATGGAAGACAAATTAATAGTTTGTATGAGAATCACGTTTTGTGGTCACGTGGTGGTGACATTCGTTTTTTCAGTAAAAATAATTTGAGAGGAAAAGAGTGATAATCGATTTTTTGATTTTTACTAAAACCTTTGAGATATGTTAGATTGATAATAAAAACATAACTATTAAAATTAAAACTAAACTAATTATTGGAAAAATAATGAATAAATAAAAAAAATTAAGAAACGTGAAAAAATTTGATATTTCTATTCAAAATAATTTGAGATGAAAAGAGTGATAATCGATTTTATGATTTTTACTGAAACCTTTGAGATATGTTAGATTGATAATAAAAACATAATTATTGAAATTAAAACTAAACTAATTATTAAAACAATAATAAATAAATAAAATAAAAAATTTAAAAGTGTGAAAAAATTTGATATTTCTCATGCATTAAAGCCACGAATTTTTTCCTAACTTTTTTTTGTTTTGAAATATTTACGTTCAATAAAAAATCAATACAAGTTTTAAAAAAAAATTACATATTTAATTTTTAAAACAATCTTTTATAGTTGCATTGTTAGAAACGTTGCTGAAAAGTGTTTGAATAACAATTTTTTTAGTCTTCATTTCACCATATTCAAAGAAAACAGTCAGATAACCATAAAACAGGTGGCATTTAAACTATAAACTGTGAGAAAAACGTTTGATTGAAGAAGATAGAACCAGAAATTTTATAACAAGAATAAAACAATAGAAATATAGTCATTGATATTCATCGATGTTTGATATTTTAGTGCTAATTTCTTGCTACATTATTCCTTTTTTTTCTAACAATTTTGCTTCTCCATTCTAGTTTTTGACAAATATTTTATACGTAGCACAAACATGCACTTTTTTTACAATAGAAAAAAAAAAACTTTTTATTGAAAAAAATTTATACATTAATGCATAGTTTTCCCTTTTTTCAATTTTTAGTAATTTTCATAATATTTATTTGAAATTCTGAAAACATTTCCACAGGTTAAGTTCAGTCATAAGAAATGTATGATAATTTCTGAAGAAATTAGCATTTTAAGATAAAATCTTTAATCATCGTAAATGCCACCTTTTAAAAAAAAATCAACCGTGGTTACCATAAGAAGGCATTAGTTTTGAAAAATTTACGAAACTGATTACTATCATAATTTTCACTATGGGAAATTTCTCGATAAAAATGATTAAATAGCAATTTATTTAATTGTTATTTTACCATATTAAACAAAAACAGTCAAATTACCGTAAAAAAAAGATGATATTTAAATTTTTAAGTGTGAGAAAAAAATATTTATTGATTGTGTTTTCCTAATACTGTTAAATAACCAGAATCCTATCCACACCAACTGGACCCATCTTAAAAATCCATTTTGTTTCGAGCAGTTGGGTATGAATTGTAGCTGAGAGGGCTAATTGGTCATTCTCTTGACCAGCTGAACAGGGGTGCGAATCCCAGCTTTGATACTACAATTTTTCTTTCCTTCCTTCAATACATTAAGAGTTTCCAGTTTCCTGCACTATTCAATCGGTGACCCTGGACTATTAAAAAAGAAACTATAATTCACGCATAAATGGTGCAACACCCACAAAGCTCCCATGTCCGTTTAAGTTTCATTTTTATGCTTTAGAAACTAAGCTAGTTATAAATAGTTACAAAACCGAACAGTTATGTATTCATTATTTTTTTACAGTACCAGTTGTAAACGGTGTAAAAACCGTAAAGTTAAAAAATGTAATGTTCTTAAACAAAAACTTAATTGTTAATCGGATGGACCGATTGCTGCCGGTAATTTTGCCATAATTTCGGAATGAAAATTCTGACAGTGTTTATTGAAGTATTTTGTTCCGAAATAATCAAAAACAAAGCATTTACTTAACGTAAACTAAAAACATCTTTTTAAAGGGACATTAATCTTTCGGATATTGTTTGTTTTTTCATTCTACCTTAAAGGTTTTTTTACATATTTTTGTTTTGGATCATATTTATATGTATGTACGGAGGAAAAAAAATATCTGTTAAAATTACCATACTTACATAGTAATGATAAAAAATCATATTTCTAATAATAAAACAAAATTATACAGCATTTAAGCCATCAATTTGGTAGTTTTTTTTGTTCGTATTGTAGCGGTTTACTGGAAATTCTGTAATGTAAAAAATTTCGGATCAAATTAAGGTAAAAAGCAACGGAACTCAGAATGGAATAAATGGATTGGAAAATGGATTTTACGAATGATGTACCCAAAAGTGCTGGCACTTTATACCGTAATATTATCCGAAATTTCTTACAGTGTGGTTTTCAAATTATAGTTTTTATTACCACACATTTAGAAAAAAAACGAAAGTAAAAAGTATCTCATGCTCTAAGGTACCATGATAAAATTAGCAAATTTTACCTCATTAATCAAATTTTATCACATATTATAAACCCATACTTTATTATTAATTTTAAGAAAAGTCATTATCAAATTGCTACCGCAAAAATTCACGCTCTTTTTGATGTTAACATTGACTCAGAAACACAGTAACTTTTGCCATATTCTGGTAGTTTTGTCTTCTTTATTTTATTCTGGTAGTAGTCATACTTTTCATACTTTTTTTCTATCTTTTTTTTCATTCATAATATTTTTTTAGTGTGTAGAGCCACAGTATTTAAAAAAAATATTTTTGAATTAGGCCAGCATTTATAAATCCGTATCTGATAATGTAGTTCAGATACTGCATCATAAAATATTAGTAAAAATTCCCTTTAATTCTTAAAAAATAATCTTTCACCGAATGTTTTTCTATATTGTCTTTACTTTAAAGGTGATAAAATTAACTTTTAAAAAACCTGCTCTGTAAAACTTTAATTATTTTATTATTTCAAATTTTTTTTAAGAAATTACATATTTAAAAATACATGTTTATAATTTTTAGCACACGTTAAAGCGCAGATGTTTAAAAGTGTCATATGATTAAGTGAGATTCTAGAATTTACATTTAAATCTTAAAACTAACGTAAAATCTGCTAACGTGACATGTTAAACAAGCTAACGTGAAATTTTTCCAGGTTGTCTACACTGTAAAAATTTCCGGTGCAAATTACGGTAAGTACCAGTAATTTGTGTCCGTCATCCGTAAAACCCATTATTACCGTAAAATATCATACAGTAATTTTTACAATAATAAGTACTTTAAAGTCACTGAATCACTAGAATTATTAAATATATTATAAATATGTAAAAATTACGGTATGTTAGATTTTTTGTTCCGTAACATGTTCCAGTAAAAATGGATTTNATGAACGTTATTTCAAAGCGATTTTCAAGAGACGAGTTTCGAAAAAACGCCTTCGTAGTACAGCTACTGTAAAAATGGACCGATTCATTTTATTTCAGGTGTGGGCGACAGTGGAAAATAGATCAGCTACATTTAGCTCTGTTCTGGGGGGATGAAGGTCGTTTTCCTGGTGACTTCTATTTTGTTTGCGTTTATCATCTTTATTAAAAAAGCTTAAATTTTTTTTTAAAAATGCAGTCTTTTAAGGGAAAATGGAAAACTGAAATATTTTATAGTCGGGCACACGCAGCGGGCACACCTAAAACCATCGAAGGGCGCCATGGTGCCCGCGGGCATAGGGTTGGGGACCCCTGAATTATTTGGTCCAGAATTTTTTCCAAAGCATGTCATTTTAGTGCAATTAGGTAAATGAATGCACTTTTGAATAATATTCTCATCTCAAGTCTAAATATTTTTAAACTGATTTAACTTTGATGCGTTAGGCCTCGTTTAAACTTAGAATCGTTTTCTTATTGTTGTATTTTTTTTTAAAAAAAAAATTATGTTCAAAGTTTTGAATTTTGCAATTTTTTCCAATCTGGTATTATATTAATGAATGCATTCTCTCAAACCAGATACTCTCTAAAAAAATATTGCACCTATAGTATTTCTAGCTTTTTTTTCTTTCAACAGTTTTTGATTGTAAAATTGCTCAAACGAATTTTTTCTTTTTAGATCATGAATGGAACGAACTTAAGAAACTTGTTTCATCTTGAAAAATGTCATTTATTTGAATATTGTGAGACAATTAAATGACACTTCTTCATTACTAGCATTGAATAATTTGCTACATAAAACTTTTACATGTCTGTTGCATTGCAAGAGCCTGAAATTCGCCCTTTTCGGGTACCAGGGTAAGTTTTATTTATTTTATGATTATAATAAATGATAGATGATAGATTATTAAAGTATTTATTTACTGCAAGTTGCTTTTTTACTAACAAATTTTTCATGTATCTGAATATAAGGCTGAATAATATACTCAAATAACGCAAAACGTTGCATGCATGTTCCACATTGATTAAAGATCATTTAGAAAATAACACATAATCTCAAAAAATTTTCTGAAAATATCAATTTAATTTTTCTGGCTGAGTTTTTTGAAATATTTCAGTCTGAAATTTATTCAGAAATATTTTTGAGATAATTCAGTCATTTATTAAAATTGTCAGAAATATTTCCATATTATTTAAGTAATAGTTTAAAAAAAAAGGGCTTCCACGTTATAGGGACTGAATAAAAACATTTCTGCAACAATTTGAAATGCTTTAGTACCGAACTTTTGTAACATAAACTTAAAAATTTTTAAAGTATAGACAATTGTAAACACCGAAGAGCCATTACATTAAGACTACCCTGCTAATAACATGTAGGACCACCTTTAGCCCTCAAAACTGCTAGCACCCGCCGTGGCATTGATTCCACAAGGTGCTGATAGGTAGTCTGAGGTATCTGGTACCAAGCGCTCACCAACTGGTCCTGCAATTCCCTCACATTGCGAGGGGGTAGCGTGGCAGCACGAATTTGGTTTTCCAAGTAGGACCACAAATGCTCTATTGGATTAAGGTCAGGTGAATTTGGGGGCCAAGACATGACTTGAAAGTCACCGGAATGTTCCTCGAACCAATTCATGACGATTCGACTCTTATGACATGGTGCATTATCCTGTTGGTAAGCACCATCCTCCACAGGAAAAACTGTTGCCATGAATGGGTGAACCTGGTCTGCAACTATGTTCAAGTAGCTTACAGACGTCAGGGATTTTTCTATGAGGATTATGGGTCCTAATGTGCCCCATGAAAACATTATTCCTGGGCGAGAAACCATGAAAACCTGGGTGAGCCCATTTTTATAGATGGAGGGTGGTTATAATGTAATGGCTCTTCGGTGTAAATGTTCCTCAAACTCTTCAAAATTCTCATAGTTTTATTTGTACACTGAGAAAAAAGATATGGTTAAAACTTTCAAAATATGGGGAAATTTAACGTGTTTCCAACTCTGTGGGAACACCAAAGAGATCGGAAAACTTTTACCGAAGCGTTTTGACTACGAATTTGTTAACATTAACAATAAAATTCAGTTTTATAATGTATCATAAAATTTGGTAAAATTTGTTAATTTTATCATATCTTAGAAAATAGCATCAAAACTATTTAAATCTGTTAAATTTCTTCTTCAGTTTTGTATTTTTTACGAAATGTGTGATAATAAGATTTATAATATTAAAGACCACAAACCGTTACAATATGAACGAAAAAAAGTACCAAAAAAATCGTTTAAATACCGTATATTTTGGCTTTATTGACTACGCTTTTTTTCATTTTTTTACCAGAAATATCATTATTATACAGTACTTAAGACAATTAAGTTTTTAAAAGTAAGCCGTTTTAATTTGAAATCATACTTCTATTTGGTTTTGTAACGAAAAATCTTGAAAAAATTCAAATTTAAAATTTGTTAAAATACTGCCTGAAAAAATTTGGTTCCTAATTATTTTCTGAATTGAATAGAAAGAGAAAGTAAATTAAAAAATACGCAATTGTTGTATAAAAAGACGCAAAAGATGGAAAAGCGAGATAATTGATATTAAACTCGTATTTACTGCACTGAGAAAAAAATTCTGGTGAAATTACCGTTCTTGTAGGATAATGAAATTTTTGGCTAAAAAAAAAAAAAAAAAAAAAAAAAAAAAAAAAAAAANAAAAAAAAAAACGAATATAATTCTAGTAATAAAACCATAATTTAAGGTATTTAAACCATTAATTTGTAGCTTTCCCGTTCGCATGGTAACGCTATACTGGAAATACTGGTTTTCAGAATTACAGTTATTATTACCACACATTTAGTAAAAAATACAAAACTGCAAAGTAAATTTGAGCAAATAATAGTGAAAGAAAACAAAAAAAAATTTAAATTCTAAATAGATAAAACTTCATTGAAAAAAAAACGCGCTAAAAAGCAGCAGAAATTTCAAAAAAAGAATAAAAGTAGTAATAAAAGAAACGAAGGAAATAAAAATAAAAATATAACCACAGAAGCCGACGTCTTCAGGGGGCACCGGCCCCGGTATCCATAAAACAAAACCATTTCTATTAGGGGAGAAGCAAATGCCTAAAGTAACTCCCTCAGTACCCCGACGGTTTCGTATAGAAGTCCAGGAAAAACATGAAATACAAAGAATCAATTTAGAAAAGAAACTCAAACAAAATCATCAGAAAATAAAAACTCACTTTAACCAGGTCAAACAGCGATTTCACAAGCAAACCGAATGAAAAGAATTTTTATGCCATTCTCTAAGGTATCATAATAAAATTACAATATTTTACCGCATTTATTACCAAACAGCATGGTGATTTAATTTTATCAAAAGTCATTACTAAAGCACTTCGATAAAAATTACGGTGCTTTTTTGGTGCTCCCGTAAAGGCAGAAACTATATAAAATGCCATTTAAAATCAATAAAAAAGGACTTTTTCCATCATTTTCTTTATTTTTGATGCGATTCCTCTTAAACAGGAAAGTAATCTTCAATTCTCACAAAATCATCATCAAAGTATATTGATCATTAAATCAAAAATTAAACAACAAATGCATCAAAAATCAATAATTGCATCAAAGTATATTGGTTACTATATCATAGTAACTAGTTTAAAAATTTTATTGTCGAAACTTTACAATTTTTGAAAGCTTAAAATATTTCTAAGGTGAGATTCCGAATTTAGATTCAACTTAAAAACGGCATAACAAAAGAAGCAGAAAATGATATCAATGGACTTTTCCAGCATTTTCTTTATTTTTGATGCGATTTCTTTTAAACAGGAAAGTAATTGTCAATTCTCAGAAAATCGAGAAATGCATCAAAGTATATTGATTATTAAATCAAAAATTAAGCAACAAATGCATCAAAAATCAACAATTGCATCAAAGTATATTGGTTACTATATCGTAATAACTAGTTTTTAAATTTTATTGTCGATACTTTACAATTTTTGAAAGTTTAAAAATATTTCTAAGGTGAGATTTCGAATTTAGATTCAACTTAAAAACGGCATAACACAAGCAGAAAATGATATCAATGGATACGCCATTCAAATTATTTTCAAAACTCTTAAAATTCTTGTGACTAACGCTGTTTTATTGCATATTAAAGTTCACTAATGTAACAATATGCTAGTTAAAATCTATTTATAACTCTTATTTCAACTAAAATCATTATCTTTACCAGCCCATTTTATTTAATAGATATTATTAACTATACTCTTTACATATTCCCGTTATGGTAATTNAAATATTTCTATGGTGAGATTTCGAATTTAGATTCAACTTAAAAACGGCATAACACAAGCAGAAAATGATATCAATGGATACGCCATTCAAATTATTTTCAAAACTCTTAAAATTCTTGAGACTAACGCTGTTACAATTTTATTGCATATTTAAGTTCACTTATGTAACAATATGCTGGTTAAAATCTATTTATAACTCTTATTTCAACTAAACTCATTATCTTTACCAGCCCATTTTATTTAATAGATATTATTAACTATACTCTTTACATATTCCAGTTATGGTAATTTTCTGTCTAGAGACAAAAATTATGATTAGAATATGAATTCATAATTCAAGATCTAAATTAGCTCTTTAGCCCATAAAAGCCTATCATAATTTGCTTAAAAAACATAATAAATTTTCGAGGCGAACGAAAATAGCTTTCCTCGAAAAATAGCCTTCCATTTTTTTGTTTTTCTTCGTTGATTTATTAATAACGTTTGGTGTTAAGCTGAAAAAATAATCACGAAATCGCAAAGCGCATTGCTGATGTATTAAAATATGAAAGAGTAAAAAAATACAGCAATTCTAGCAGTTTGGAAACCTTGCATAATGTATGTCAAACATGGCTATAAAAGGCCAATAGCCGTTCCAACCTGATTACAAAACTGTCTAGTATGGGGAATTTCATATGAAATATCTTTCCTTAAATTGACTAAATCGGAGTTCGACACTTTTGATTAATGGTTTAAAACTCCATCTTCATTCTTGTAATATTTTAGCAGAAACACTTCTTAGTAAATGTTTCATTATAGAAACTAATAAATGGTTAATATAAGAGTATTATTAATTGCTGGATTGTCTGTATTTTTCATCAAATCATAAAAGAAAATTAGTGAAGTTATTTTCGTGAATAGAATAGAAACCGCTTAGAGAAATCAATGCAGCATAAAGTTAAGTCTGCATTATAATTAGTTCTTATGTTTTTATAATTAATTATTTCTTATGCTTTTGTAATTAATTATATCTTATGCTTTTGTAATTAATTATTTCAAATGTTTTTGTAATTAATTATGAATATTTGTAGATTAATTAGCAACTCATGATATTCAAATTCACTCACATAAGCACAAATTAACCCTTTGACGCAGATGAAACACAGGTGTCCCTTTCATTTTTTTTTTCAGAAGCTCTAATTACGAGTAAAATATATTTTGGAACTTTTTAATGATAAAAAAACAGTCTAATAGTTACAAAGAAATCAATTAGATAATCGAAATTATATTTGCACTAAAATATAGAATCCAAAAAAACTAGCTTGATTTTTTTTTCATTCAAATTCAAAAATTTATCAATTTTATTATTAAATGTATACATAAGTTGATTTTATAAGTTTTGAAAAATAAATAATTAATAACTACTTTTCTTGGATCAAAATAACTGCAAATAAGTGCGCATTTGAAAAAAATATTGTTTGGGAGTGAGTCGTGTTTAGAAAGTTTTACCATTAATACAGAAAAAGACATTCCATAACCATAAATTATTAAAATGCTGAACATAATATTTTTCACTCATTTTGGTCTAA